AATATTATTGTCATTCTTAGTGTTGAATTGATTTTCTTTTTGCATTAGTATTAATTTGATTTTGATTTAAGCTTTATTATAATTACCAACATATGTGGACTATAATCTTTATTGGCCCATTCATAATTCTAAGTTTCAAACTTGAAATAATATATTAAATATTAAAAACTATGGAAAAGTATAAGAAATATTTAAAAATTATATCAAAGTAAATATTTTTATGTATAAAATAAAATTTTAAAATTATATATATAAATTCGGGTTGGTTTGGTCTCGGGTTGGTTTTTTTTAGTTAAAACCAAACCAACCCAAATATAGTCGGGTTTTTTTTTCCAAAACCAAACCAAGTCAAACCAAACCACTAGTCGGGTTTTTTTTTCGGGTTGACTCGGTTTGCGGTTTGGTTCGGTTCTCGGTTCGGTTTTGTACACCCCTACTTATAGTTAATGAATCATATTTGGTTAATTGAGTGTTGATTAAAGATCATAATTTAAATTGTAATGTACAAATGCGAATTTTAGTAGTCTCACACCAAGGTAAATTAAGAATTGGAAGATCGCATGAATATTATTAATTTAATATAAACAAATAACAAAAAATTTAATAATAACTAAAGAATAATATCATATTCGACTGGTTATTAATTACGTGCACAAATATATAAGTATCGTGCAAAATATAAAAAAGGGATTCAAATTCTAAAATGCATTCACCTCATTTGAGGTTAATTAGTCCTTTAAAATTAAATGCAATAATTCGGATATAATCCAGGGTTGCAGCTAGGAAAACAACAATTTCAACCAATACCCCAAGTGCATTAGTGTTTATAAGGGTGCATAATTTTATTTTATATATAAAATTAAAATAAAATTTTATAAGTCGTGTCTATATATATTGTTTCTCAAGATATATATACGTTAAAAAGAATCGAAACTAATGAATGCCTGTACAATCTCAATTATACACGTAAGTCTGCCTCTTCACGAGTACTGTTATCCATATTTAGTGTCCAGCTAGCACCTATTGTCATGAACCTAATATACAAATATGTCTCGTGTAAGTTTGAACCGACTGACGGAAAGAATACACTTAAACAACAAAATGTGAGGCAAGCAAATGAATCATTGTGTATTGTGCTTAAGCAAAGTCTATGCTTCTCACTTTTGATTCTTCTGACGTCTCACTTCTTTCTTTACGTCTCATTCCTTCTTTCTTATTGTTTCGTTGCTTATTTTTTCTATTGTAAATTCTCTTTTCAGTTGATTAATAATAATCAATCTCATTGTTGTTAAATATTTTACCTATGTGTATTATTCAAACTTTTAAAAAATAATATCACATCCACGTCGAATTCTTAAAATATATTATACTTCTGAAGAATTCATCCCACATTGGCACATTCCATAACACATATAATTTTATTAAACTCTACATAATTACTTATATAAAGTGCAACCTTACTGCACATTTCTTAGAACATTTGTGTATAACTTATTTGGAGACTAAAAACTTGTCAATTTCCAAGTATACTCTAAGGGTTATTGTGTTACAATATATCGATTGACCTTCTATCGAGTATATATAATATTTAATACATGTAATTGGAGTATGTATCTTTAGGATTAATTTTATGTTATTCACTATGAAGCCAAAAAGAAAAGGTCTATTGTACATTATTATTTATTGTATAGACCATTTCTATATTATAAACAAGCATAATTAGTCTGTGAACCAATCACAAACCTTATAATTGGTGTTAACTTATTGTTTACTTGTCATTATTAAATTACATTATGCTTGAAAAAGTCAATAAGTTTGATCAAGAATCAGTGATATTTCTCTCTTTAACTTTTGATGTAATTTGTATCTATATTTTGTTACTAAGTACCAATTATTTTTCCACTAGGTATAATTAAATTCAGACTCAACTATTAATCTTTGTACGATAACTTATGACTAATAAAGTTTATTGAACTATTTGAGGTACTTTCATGAACTCTATGTCGTACATTTGGGTTGTTTTTTTTTTAAAAAAAGGTTTAAATTAAATATATACATATTATACTTTAATATAGTTATTATAATGTAATTTTGTAAGTAATTTTAATCTTTTTCATAGTTCATGTTTCTTAAGATTATTTCAAGTTTGAATTTAT